TGTGTGTGTGTGTGTGTGTGTGTGTGTGTATTCCTTCTTCTTACGGCTGCTCCCTTCTTCAGGGGTTGCCACCATGAAGACTTGGCATTTGTTTTTATACTGGTTGCCCTTCCTGACACAACCACAGACACCGAGCTACCAGCTCTCTGTGGGGAGCAGAGAGCTGATATCTAGGGCACCAGAGGGAGCATATGCTGGGGGTTAAGGGCCTTGCTCAAGGGTCCAGAGTCAGGCAAACAAGGGTGGAGGCATGTGTGCGTGTTTTACCTTTCCCACACACATTTTGATGTTGTCGGTTCAGGGGGTCGAACAGGCAACCTTCTGATCACTGTCTCGTCTTCTCTAACCTCTGCGCCACCACTCCGCCAAAAATCTAAATTATAGTTTAAATACTAAATATATTTGTATTTTATTTAATTGTTTAAAGTTTTCAGTCGTGCATATATGGTCACAACGTGTGGTACTTTAGCTCCTTCTAGTGACAGTCAGGAGGTATTTTTGTGTGAACTGTTCACAAGGTAAATAAAAAGCTTAATAATTTTCAGCCGAACTGTGCTAGAAAGCTAAAACTCAGAGACAGATTAAAAACAACTTTACGATCCTGGAACCAAATGAAAGCTAGAATTCAGAGGAGAATATTTCCAGGACTTGGTGGAAACTGGAGGATGCCCGTGGTAGTTCGAGCAGCACTATGATAAAGTTACTGAGGGTTTCCACCAACGACAAAAGATGCAAAACTGGGAGGAGAATTCATCTTTATTTATATCAGATGTGTATGCAGTTTTCATGTGACATAAGGAGAGCAAAGAGCAAACTGTGTGGTCTGTGACACATCTTACAGTCTTCAACCAAACCGGCAGCACTAATGAACAAAAAAGGGGGTTGATTTGATGAGAACACACAATAAAACCCCCAAAACAAAATTTTCCATTATATTTATTTAACTCAATAAAATACACTTTACCATTTGCAAAGAAAAAAAAAGTATCACCACTTTCAAAAATTACATTTGTGCAGAATAAACATTGCAGAAGATGTATGAAGACATTGGTTAAAAAACATAAATAAAACTGCCATTTTTTCCATC